TTAAAAATAAAAAAGACTAGCTTGCCAATTCAAAAAAAAAGATTTTTGGCCAATTTTTAATGACATATTTGGATTTATTTCTCCCATTTATTCTGCATTTCTGTTTGTCCCACTTTTTCCAGATTCTTTTTCCTTTCTAGCATTACTTGAAGTTGATTAAGATTCTCTCACTCCTCGTTCCCTTTGTCTTTTTCTTTCCCTTTCTAATGGTTTGGAAGTTGTACATTTTGTTTCTCTTCTTTCCGTGTTGATCCTGGAACTTTTAACATGAATATTTTTAAATGTTTAAAGTTAATCAGTTAATCAATATCTTTAACCTCCTGATCAATACAGGGCCCTTGGAATGTTTTTACTTCTGTTCTCTACCTCCCAGATGAAATGCTATATTTGCCCAATACTTTGGTTCTGTTTCAGTTTCTTTTTGTTTTATTGTGGAATTCAGTCAGTACTTAATTACATTGTCTTTGCTTATCTTCTCTTGCTGCATCTCAAACCTCCTTTTTTGGATCATTTTCCTTTTTCCTGAAATATGTTTTTTAAAACTTCCCCTAGTGAGTATCTGCACTCAGTTAAAACCCTGAAAATATATTTATGTTGCCCTTATGCTTTGAAGATAGCGTTACCGGATATACATTCTAGATTGACGGTTACTTTTTCTGTCTCGCACTTTGGAATTAATGTTCTACTTTTACCTGTTTCACTGCTTCATCTTAGTGTACACCTCATTAGTGTATGTTTTGTTTCTGTGACTTTAATGCTGTACAGTTTGTGATGTGTCTAGACATGGATTTCTTTTTATTTATTCTCCTCGGGACTTGTTGGCTTTCTGAATCTGAGGATTGGTACCCTCATCAAAACTAGAAAATGCTCAGCCATTTTTTATTTGGATATTGGATCTTCTCCATTTTTTCCTTTCCACTCTGGAACTCCAGCTTAGAGGGATAGCTTGTTATTATAGTCCATGTTGCCCAATCTATCTTTCATATTTTTTATCCCTTTGTCTCTCTGTGCTGCATTTTATATATATTATCTTCAGATCCGTCTTCTGATTCACTAATTTGTCTCTTCTGGCTCCCACTGAGTTCTTTCATTTCAGGGATTCTATTTTTTCAGCTTTAGAAATTCTACCTGATGCCTTCCAAAATCTGTCTGCCTGGCTTTAATCATCTATTCTTCCTTTCTAATCTGTTTCAATTCCTTCTTTTTTATTTCATTATGCATACTTTACATTCTGTACCTAGTTATTTCAATATTTGCAGATTCACAGTTTTGTGTGTGTTTTTCTGTTGTGTCTTGCTTGCGGTGGCTTCTTTCTTTTATGTTTAATGGGTTTTGGATTATGAACCTATGTTTCTTAAAATCTTATGTGTGGGAATTCTTTGTGGCCTGGGTTTTAAGTTAGGTTCTTCCAGAAAGGGTTTTGTGTGTTTTTTTTTTCAACAGTAGGCAACGTTGGGCACTTTAAACTAAATTTAACTTGTGGTCCCTGGTCCCCACAGTAGAATTCTGGCTTCATACCCACAAGACTTCAGGCTTGTGATTAAAAATTCTCAGGGGAGGCTCTTCTTGTCTCTGGCCCCATCTGGAGCTGGGGCTGGGGCTGACTTTATCTGCACTGGCTGCCTGTGCAGGCAGTTACTTCTCCCCGGGAACCCATCGAGGGTGTCGGCATTCCCGTGCCCTGGCTGGTTACAAGTATTTTTACATTTATATGTTCCCGGTGGCCTGTTTGCTGACATGTTTGGTGATTTTAGGTTATGAGCTGCTTTTCCAATATCTGCTTGAACTTAATCTGTGGAAATCCTCATGACCTAAATTTAGGTTCCTTTCTCCAAAAGAGGATTTGCTTTTAAAACTTCGGCTGGGCCTGGCCGCCGTGGCTCAGTGGTTGAACATCGACCTATGAACCAGGAGGTCACAGTCCAATTCCCCGTCGGGGCATATGCCCAGGTTGTGAGCTTGATCCCCAGTAGGAGGCATGCAGGAGGCAGGTGATTGATGTTTCTCACATCAATGTTTCTCTTTCCTTCTCCCTTCCACTCTCTCTAAAATCATTAAAAACCTATTTTTTAAACCTGTGCAAAGAGAAGGAAAAAGCATGATAAACACCATATGCCTCTCACCTAGGTTCTCTGAGAATTAGATTTTTGCAGCACTTGCCTTATTTCCTACTCTTTTGCACTCACAATTCCCTCCCTCTCCGCGTATGTTCAGGGGGGTATCATAGTCTGCTTAACTGAGGTAGTAAAGTGAGTCATAAGCCCCATGTTATTAAAAAGTAAGGATTCAGAATTGAATTGACTTTTCTAAAAGCCTAGAAAAAAGCCCGTTTACTCACCCAAGTGTAGTTGAGTTCACTCTGAAACTGTTTTTTGCTAGTTTGGCGGACTCATTACCGAAATAATTTGTAGATTCAACAGTAGTTACCTGAAACAACAAAGATCGAGAGAGCCATTCTATGAGATTTCATTTTCATTTGCCATCATGACTATTAATAGCTACCTGTGCAATTAATTACATCAACAAAGTTTCCTATTTGGTAGCACCTCACAGGCATCCTCTCCTGGCCACTTTTATGTTCCCCAAGGCAGCCAAGAAACAGGAAGTCTGCAGAACATAGATACACAGCTCAGGGCCATGTTGACAGGCAAGCCCCTGAAGCATTTCTTCCCTCAGGCCTCTCTGCTCCTACTTATGCTGCATTCCCATACGGCTCCTGAGCTAGAATAGAAAGAAACGGCACCACTCAGGGTAAGCATGGTGCAGCAGCGAGCAATCTGACAGGAGAGGAGACCAAGTCAGAGCTCTCCCGTGCCCACTGAGAGCTGCCCTCTGTGATCGGACTTTTCACTTGGTCACACTGCCCTGGGAGGCAGAGAGGTGCGCTGAAGCTCACAAATAAACTTGCTGGATGTCTGTCTGTCTGTCTTACAAGCCAGGTTCTTTCTATAAGGACTTGGAGGGGAGGGGTGGCATGGATCTGGGATCCTAGAGAACGGGACAAACTGGGGCCCTTCTGGACCTGCTAGGGCGTCATTGTGCAAATGCACACATTGTGATTGTGGGGTTGATCATGGAGGTCTTGAGACATCTAGCAGAGGTTGAGTTCTAATACCGGCCCTCATGCGTTTTGCTGGTGCGCATTACTGTGCTGGTGCGTGCCACCGCCTGGTGCACGTTCCCACCAGCTTAAATGTAGTAGGACACCGAAGAGAGGGAGACCCTTGACCTCACTCCCTGCTACACCATTTATCACAGGGACTCGCCTCCCTTTCAGCCGCTGTCCGGGCTGCAACCAGAGTCTTGCTGAGCCCATAGGTCCCCAGGGTTGGCAGGAGAAAAAGGGGCGGGGCTCACAGCTGCAGCTCATCGGTGGGCCTGACCCCTTCGCCTTTCCAGGGCCATATCCTTAGTGAGTATCCGATAAGGCGTGTTGGTGGAGGTCCGCAGTCATCTTCCCAGACTTCCTGCTCTCTATCACACACCTCCATCTGCTCCCGCCCTTCTCTCTGCTGTGTGTCCACTCTGCACCCAACACAGCGCTAAGCCCTGGAGAGGTACAAGTGACGGCCCTGCCTCAGGGAGCTGACGCTATAATGGGAATCACAGACCTGGAACAGGTCACCACATGATGACATGGGGACTCCTCTCTGTGGAGGACCTAGACTTGGGGCTCTGCAGGAAGGAAAAGTGTGCTCATGTCGCCCAGAAACGTATCAGCAGGTGGATGAGCTTACAAGAAACACGGGTGGTGCCATACAGCATCTCCTCCCTGCCCCACGCCTTCAGCCCTCACCTCCGGCTTCAGAAGCCATCTCTGCCCCCTCCACTCTAAGTAGCCTTTCCCTCCCTCGAGGATTCACCTCTCTGCTCACCCAGCCTCCTGAACACCTCCTGTGCCAGACACCTTTGTATCACAGTGGCCATGTAAACGGGATCGGTGCCCACCCCAAGGAGCATGGGGCCTCACCAGGACTCGGCGCCACAGCCCTCGTGCTGACAGCAGGCGCAGGTCCAGCGTTTCCTCACGTCCTGGGCCCATGACCCTGTGCAGCGGGTGCAGTCTCTTTTCCCACTTGGCTCCTGAGGAAGCATAGAGGAGGTCTGTTCATTGTTAGACGTGAAGCAACAAAATGACTAGAGGCATAGAGAGTGCTGTCGGGCTCTGAGGGGAATGGAACGGAGGGCGGGGAACGGAATCATGGGCAAATCAGAAAGGAGTGGAGCGGATCGGATGGGGTAGCTAAGAGCTCGATCGTGGCTCTGCTGCTTATGAGCTGTGGGGGCTCTAAGTAAATCCCTAAACTTTTCCAGATCCTCCTCCTGGCACCTGTACAGTTAGGATGCTCACGGCCGCCCTGGAGTTCAACGCCGTCATCTAGGCAGGTTCGCAGGCGCCTGGCGGGTGCTACCCGTCCTGGGGTCTAACCGTGACCTGCTGGCCCGTCGGCGTCTGTGTGGCAGTGCCTGTACCTGATCCCACCGAGGACCCTCCCCAGGCCATGCGTTCATGTGGGGCGTTCAGTGAATATCTGTAGGATGAAGGGGGGAAGGAGGGAAGCCTGAGTGGATAGCCGTCCCCACCGGCAGGTACCTCTTTGCCCTGCACGCCGGGTTCAGTCCTCCTACCACAGCAGCGTGAGCAGGACGCGGGTTTTTCCTCGGAAGTACCCGGCCACCATCCGCGGTGTCTGTCCCTCCGTGCCGGCGGGTCTGCGAAGCCCAGCACCGCTCAACCCTTAGGGTTTCCAGTGGAGACCCTGTTGCCACCGCTGTGGCCTCTGAAGCGTGTTGTTTTGGCGGCTCAGCCGCACACACTGAGTGAAAAGGCCAGTGATGGGAGGACAGGGTGCAGGACGCCGACTTTATGGCCGCCTTGGCACGTGGCCAGCTTGCGCCTCCAAGGGCTGGAAGTGTGAGCGCAGGGCAGGGGTCGGTGGGGGCTGCGGGGGCCTCATCACAGGGTCTCATCCGTGTCCTCTCTGTGTCCCCGCCCGCAGGAACGGCCTGGGCAGCGGCAGGACACGGACAGAGAGCGAGCCGTCGTGCGGCTCCCCGGTGGTCAGCGGGGACCCCAAGGAGGATCACAACTACAGCAGTGCCAAGGCCGCCGCCGCCAGGAGCGCCTCGCCCGCCAGCGACTCGGTCTCCTCCTCCTCCTCGGCCGAGGACCACGACGAGTTTGCCACCAAGGGGAGCCAGGAGGGCAGCGAGGGCAGCGTGCAGAGCCGCGAGAGCCACAGCGAGGCGGAGGAGGACGAGCGCAAGCACGGCCCCCGGGAGGCCCCGGGCGACGGCGGCTGCGCGGCCCCGCACAAGAAGCGCCAGCACCTCGCCAAGGCCCGGCGGGTCCCCAGCGACACGCTGCCCCTCAAAAAGAGACGCACGGAGAAGCCCCCCGAGAGCGACGACGAGGAGATGAAGGAGGCGGCGGGGTCGCTCCTGCACTTGGCAGGGATTCGGTCCTGTTTGAACAACATCACCAATCGGACGGCAAAGGGGCAGAAAGAGCAAAAGGAAACCACGAAAAATTAAAAAAACAAGTCACTGATTTGTTTTGAACTGAACGGCCATTTGGTTTCAGCATGTCAGGAGATTTCTAATGATTTGTGGCAATATCAGCAATTTCTTTTTTTTTTTCTTTGTTTTGGGTTTGGTTTTCTTTCTTTCCTTTTTTGTTTTCTTTTCTTCTCTAATTTGCCCCCCCCTCCTTTGTTTTGGACCCTTGAGAATTTTACGTTTAAAGGAGATTGAAGCCATAGACTCATTGACATTCAGCTGTTTTACAAACGCTTCTCATTATCTGAAGACAAAACCGAAAAAGCCAAAATTTATCATTGCTTCCTCCCGCTGGCCCGAGGCCGTGGCTGGGTCCGCAGGGGTGTCGAGGATGCCGCGGAAAGCCCGTGTTTGGCACCTGCAAGGCAAAGTCATCACCGGTCAGGCCTAACCGTTAGGTTTACAAGGTCAGGATGTCCACCCAGTGGGGTTCACTGAGTGAATGTGCGTGAGGCAACTGGGGAGAAGGAAGAGCCCCTCGCCCCCCAGGAGCAGGCCCCAGCTTGTGGCACCAGGCAGCGTCTTGTGCCAGGAAACCCCGGGCACTGCCGCTCAGCGTGCGGGGTGGGGGCGGGGTCCCCGGGCCTCAGTGCTTCTTAATCCTGAAGCCTCCTGGTGTCTGGCGGTGGACACTGGACCATTCACGGACACTGGTGTCAATGACTAAGGAAAGGAAATGGGGTCAGTTTTTAGTGATGTTCCTAATCATTGAATTCTGTTCTATCTGAAATTAAGAGAATGTTCCACAAGCCATAAGCCTGAAGGGTTGGCCCTGCCCACACACACACACATACATACATACACACACACGAGAGTGAGAGAAAAGCCACAGACAGGCTGTTTTCTTAACTGCCCAAGTGAAAATCAAGTCCAAGAAATTACAATAGTTGTCAAGGAAGGAAAAAATGGTACAAACCTTTTTTTTGTCAAAACTATTTGATCCAAGCGGAGGAAAAAAAAAAAAAAACAAGCAAAAAGCTATGGAACCTGCCATTAGTACTGTGGTCTATTTTTTAAAGATGAAAGGCACATTAATGGACACACACACACAAAAAAAAAAATGTGGCAAAAAGGCAAAAGAAAACTCCTATACTGCCCTCAAAATGGAGTTTGCAGATCATGTCAGTCAGGATTCATCTTTGCAAAAATCATTGATTTCCACAGTCAGCCCGTTGTAGCCAGCAGAAATTTCCGATCCACAATGCATGGATTCCTTCTAAAAGAAAAAGGAAAAAAAAATCATAAAAACAAACTTTTTTTTATTCAAAAATAAAGTTCTTGTAAGGTAAATAATGTATTTAGCATGAAGCATGAATTATTTTCATATAAATATAGAAAATAGAGAAAAGGCTATGCCTCTAATGTTTAAGCCCTTAGGCTTAGAGGTTCTTTGGGTTTTCTTTTTGTTTTGTTTTTCCTTTTGTTTTGTTTTGGTTTTTTTCCCAATTATTTTGTTTTGGTTTTTTGAAGCAGGTGTTTAAGGTTTAACCTTCTTCAGGGACAAATTCTGACTGTTGGGGAACTAACTCTGCAATATAAAACTATTTCATGTTCCGGTAGGGCCTGCCTTGTCTGCACTTCAGCCCCAACCCCCTTCTGATTCTCTGTGGAAAGTGTGTCCTTTCTCTAGTGTCTGGACATGTTTATCATGATGCAATAATTTGAGGGCAAACTTCGTAGCGAGTGTGTATGATAGAATCGAGAGAATTAGGGGACGCTGACTGGGGAAACCATCACCGCAATTTGGTCCTAGGAAAAAGGCAGTGGATAATTATGCAAATTCGTCAGGAGAAGGGAAACAACGCTAATGGGCCTTATTAGATGAGGGTGTGAGTTAGGGGTCACGCGAAGGAGGAAGCGACACAGGTGTGGGAAGGACCAGCCCACAGTTTTCCTGTGACTCCCTGTCACAGTGGGAAGGAGGGGCCGGCCATCTCTACCACCTCCCCACACAAACCAGCCTGGATCTAAGCCCATCTAGACTGTGAGAGCGAAACTTAGACCACAGGACGATGTCCCGCAGCCCAGAAACTCCTGTTCTCTTTGCCTAAAGATGATTGGGGGAGACCCAAAGAGAAGCCTAAGAATGTGATCTTCCACCCGAGTGGAGGGGAATTGTAAGACACCAACAAAAACACCCACCACTGTGGCTCAGGATGTGACGGGGAGGGACAGCAGTGGGTCGTGTTGATCTTTAAAAACGGGGCAGGGAGACTGCTGCGTGCCTCGTGCTCAGCTTCCTGTGGTTGCTGATGAGAGACCCTGAAGAAGTCACCTGCACACCAGGTCGACTTCGTTATCTGAACCTGAACTCTTCCCGCATATTCGGCCAGGGGGGAGAAGGGAGTAAGGATATAGTTTTGAAGTACTCCGTTCCCTCCATCTCACCCAACATTCGACACCCCAAAAGCCATGCACAGCTCTGAAACCCGAGGGACACCGGTTTGTGTTGTCACCTGATCAAGCCCAGGAAACCCCCCCTCTCCCCGCCAGGTAAAATGTAGACTTCCCTCCAGAAAGGCAGATACAGGTTCAGGACTGTTTCTGGCGAGGGAGGGGGGCGGTTCTTCCGATTTAAACCCCCCACGGTGGGCTGTCTCCCCTCATTTCATTTTTCTAAAGGAGCAAAGGCCTCTTTTAGAAAATAATAAAATGCAATGTGTGTGATTTACTTTTCTGATCTCTCTTGAGAAATAGATAACTATCTTATAAAAGTGTGTTCTTAACTCCAGAACCACTCTTTTTGCATAAATACCTCATTGGGCAGCTTTCTAAGTGTTATTTTCCTTGAGTTCCCTCGGCCCCTTCGCAGGGGCTGCCGGGGGACTTGCAGGGAAAACTTTAGTGAGGGTACTTTTTTCTATTTTTCTTCTGTTTTGGGGGGCATACACATTATGCATAACCAAAACAATGGCTCAATTGTGTTTAAACTTTGTATTTCGATTGTTTGGGGGGAGGGGGGGATGTGTATGTGGCCGTTTGTAGTGAGTTCATTGCCGAAGGAGGCTGTCCACGCCCTCACCACGCCAGGGGCAGGAGCACCCCCTCCCCAGCCCCTCCAGGAGCAGCAGAGAATTTAAGCACAAGCCTATTTGTGAGAGAGTCTTTTTGCTCGCGTGTCATTCACTTTAGTCTTGGAATTCCTTCCCGAATGTCAGGTGTTCTGTAGCTTCCACACCAGCCTGTGTACTCATTAGTCCGACAGGTCGCCCGGGCTCCATTCGAGGGGTGCGGCGCTTTGGCTTTTGTGTCTCCCGCGGGAGCAGTGGCGTTTCACGTGTCATTCATTCCAGTATCTCACCTACTCATGGGGGGGTGGGGGGGTCCGGGGAACTATAGCAATATTTCCAGATGCGTTGGAAAGCAGCCGTGAACACTTGAGCACCGTGACATCTGCCGTTACTTGCTGTTGGCCCTTGGGCACATTTAAGAGAAAGAGGCCGTAGCTCTTTTTTCTTAAATGACTTACACGTAGACAGTTATTTTTATGCTACTACCGTGGTCTTCTATCTTTATCTACTAGTACTCTGTGGAAAGGGTTTGTCTGCATCATAGATTTCATTTCCAGCCTTATAATCTACCATAGCTCCTATGTCCCCTCCCTCCTCAAGTCGGTATACTTTTGAGAGTCCTTTGGTCAAGTTGTCTTACCTGGAAATGGCCCAAACCCACATGGAGAGGGTGGTTGGAGACAGCCCTGGCCAAGACTGCCGGTGGCGAGTTTCCGTCTTGGGCGGGGCTGAGTGTGTGCGAAGGCCAGTGTCGGCGGCCTTTCCTTTCCCAAGAACCGGTTTTCCTTGGAGAAGCACTGGGCATGGGCCCGGCAGGTACTACCAGGGGGCAGCCTGCAAGAGGCCATGTCTCTGAGCGCTGTTCCTGCCTGAGGGACAGCGTCTGGCTGTGGGCTCTGCAGAGTGAATGCCGCCTGGGTGGCTCCTGTGCCTGCTCCTCCCTGGCACAGCCCAGGCCTGCTCAGCGCCAAGTGCTGCGCCCACACCGCGTGCAGGCCCTGGGCCTCTGGCGGAAGGGCTCTTGGAGAAGGAGTCATGCGTACGAGTGACCTAACGGGAGGGTCTTCCCTATGGGACTGGATGGGTTCAATGTGACTTCTCTTTCCCTTTAAACTTGATTCAGGTTGGGAGTCCTTTCTTTCTGGTGGATCACAGCTGCCCAGATGTTGCAATTTATTTTCATGTTTCTGTAGAGAAGTGTTTTTTCTTTCATCTTCAAGATGGGTTTTTTTTTGCCCCCAAAAGAACACATATGAA